TAATATTTACAACCAGGCGAATGTTTCATTTTTGGAATAATAAATTTTCAGAGTAGTTTTTACGGTTATATCGAAAATTACTGATTTGGTTATATACTACTAAGAAACCACTATGAGGTTTAATAAGTTAACTGTTTATATTTGGACAACGTTTCTGCTGTGCTTTATTGGAAGGAGAAAAATAATCATTTCCTTAACAACATTTTAAACAATTTATTTAACTAAAACAATAACATTATAGCGTATGTATCCATGTTTATTAACTGATGTGGTTAAACAATTAAAAAAAAACCACACACCTTAAGACTGAGTTTTAGCACACATGAAAAACTTTTTAAAAATCCTTATTTCCTGATGAATAGCCTTTCAACTATAATGTAACTTAAATAGAAAACTATCTTTAGAAAGGTTTTTCCTCCAAAGGCATTTTGTTTTAAAAATCCGATTTAAGTAAAAAAAACCCGATTTAATTTTTTTTAAAATCCAATTTTATTTTATTTTAAGTCATTGATTTTTATCCACCCTGATTCCTACGTAACAAGCAGATCCCTTGCAAGACCAAGTCCACAGGCATCGCTTTCTTGTCAGCGTTCCCATCCGCAGACACCCAAGCCCAAGATTCCATGCCTTTTAGCAGCAGTGTAAATCCAAGACACCTCCCTGCACTTTTCTTTGTTAACGCAAACGTCAATACATTGGGTGCTAAAAGTCACAGGGGGTGAGCTTTATCCGAAGACTGGGCACTTCAAGTTTTATTGCCCGGCCAGCGGGTTCTCACGCCAAGCTCGTTTTTCACACAAAGCTCGTTTCCAATGCTTCTTCTTTGGCGATCCCTCGTAGCCGAGTAAGATTGTCTTCCATGAACACGATTTTAACAGTGAGTCCGTAAGTGACTGTGGAGGCCAGTTCTGGATCCCCACGTCCTTCCACAGTGGGGACACTGGTTTCCAGGTGGGAGTTGATCCCAGTGAGGGTTTGCCAAGCGTGCCTTCCTCTTAGTGCGTTTCTCCCTCTCGTCCTGAGTTCGAGTGTCTTCAAAGCCCATGACACCTTTGGTAAAGGCTGTTCTCCAACTGGAGCGCTTGCAGGCCAGTGTTTCCCAGTTGTCAGTGTTTATACTACATTTTTTTAGATTTGCCTCCAGAAAGTCTTTAAACCTCTTTTGTTGACCACCAGCATTACGCTTTCCATTTTTAAGTTCGGAATAGAGGAGTTGGTTTGGAAGACGATCACTGAAGATACGTAAGACAGGCACTTTGGGTTTCTTCGCCCCACAATGGAATCGCTACAGAAGGCGGTGGGTTTGTGGGGGTCAGCGTCCAGGACGTAGACACTTTCTGCGCAAGCAAATTTATTTCGCACAATTCACACGCTGCTCAACAGGTGTGCTTTTTTAAAAAAAGAAAAGCTCAAAGTGGTTTGCAAAAAAGACAACAAAAAGATGAAATCAACGACAAGCTAAGATTATAAAACGCCATCAACGTTCTGCATGTTTGGGGTTGTTGTTGTTGTTTAGTCGTGTCCGACTCTTCGTGACCCCATGGACCAGAGCACGCCAGGCACTTCTGTCTTCCACTGCCTCCCGCAGTTTGGTCAAACTCATGCTGGTAGCTTCGAGAACACTGTCCCACCATCTCGTCCTCCGTCGTCCCCTTCTCCTTGTGCCCTCCATCTTTCCCAGCATCAGGGTCTTTTCCAGGGAGTCTTCTCTTCTCATGAGGTGGCCAAAGTCTTGGAGCCTCAGCTTCAGGATCTGTCCTTCCAGTGAGCACTCAGAGCTGATTTCCTTATGAATGGATGCGTTTGATCTTCTTGCAGTCCGTGGGACTCTCAAGAGTCTCCTCCAGCACCATAATTCAAAAGCACCAATTCTTTGGCCATCAGCTTTCTTTATGGTCCAGCTCTCACTTCCATACATCACTACTGGGAAAACCATAGCTTTTACTATACGGACCTTTGTTGGCAAGGTGATGTCTCTACTTTTTTAAGATGCTGTCTGGGGTAGACTTGCTTAAACAAAAATGTGTTTAGCAAGTGCCCAAAGGAGAACAGGAAAGGCACTTGTCAATAGGCAGGGAGTTCCAGAGTGAAGATGCTTCCCTCAAGATGGAAGGTGGATGCCTCAACACGGGTTCAAATTATCAGAGAGGAGGACCAACACCAGACCAGTGCTGTGTTAGAAACAAGCCAGGCGCCAGGCATGTTTTGTGACTGGCGGGTTCAATTGTGAACACATGGAGATCTCTGAATGCCGGGTTGGTGACTGGGGGAAGCCAAACGTCCCTTAGAGAAGGATCTGAAATATTTTCCTTGATGCTTGGATTGAATTTATTCTGGATTGTTTTATTTGACGTTTTCAATGTGCTGTAAGGCCGACGCGGGTGGCGCTGTGGGTTAAACCACAGAGCCTAGGTCTTGCCGATCAGACGGTCGGCGGTTCGAATCCCTGCGATGGGGTGAGCTCCCGTTGCTCGGTCCCTGCTCCTGCCCACCTAGCAGTTCGAAAGCACGTCAAAGTGCCAAAGTGCAAGTAGATAAATAGGTACCGCTCCAGCGGGAAGATAAACGGCGTTTCTGTGCGCTGCTCTGGTTCTCCAGAAGCGGCTTAGTCCTGCTGGCCACATGACCCGGAAGCTGTACACCTCAGCCAATAAAGCGAGATGAGCGCCGCAACCCCAGATTCGGTCACGACTGGACCTAATGGCCAGGGGTCCCTTTACCTTTACTAATGTGCTGTAAACCACATTGCGATTTGTTCTTTAAAACACATAGAAAGGAAATAAACAACAACAAACTTCATTGCACACACACAAAAAACTCCGGTGCCTAGACATTCTGTTGTGTTGCGCAACCTTAACCTAGGTTTAAGGTGTCATTTGGCAATTGCATTATATATCTGAGTTTCTAACACTGGACCGCTGGTACCTTCATTTACAGAACATTGTGATTATGGGGTGGGGAGAAATAATGCAAGATGTGAAATCCAGAAAAGGTTTATCAGCACCAGGCCCCCTCAGGTTTGGCGTTCTTTTTGTCTAATCGTCTTTTAAAGCTGTCCCGGTTGGTGGTCATCAGCTGCCTCCTGCAGGACAGCGTTCCAGAATTTAATTCTGTGCTGCATGGATTTTTATATCCCATCTTGAATTATCCGACGCTCAGCTTCACTGGAAGGCCGCGAGTTCTGCCCTGCATGATTCTGCAAACTTTTGTCACACCGCCTCTTCCTCGACTTTTCCATCGTTCGAGCTCCGGTTGCAAATACTGTCACCACAGCAGCCAGAGCAGGATGAAACAAAGGAATGAGAATCATAGGCCCACAGAATTGTGGAGTTGGAAGGGACCCCTGAGGATAATTTGGTCCAACATCCAGCAATGCAGGAATCTCAACTAAAGTATCCATGACAGAGAGTCAGGTGGGCAGCGTACAATGAATATAGTGGTACCTCGGCTTACATACACTTCAGGTTACAGACTCTGCTAACCCAGAAATGTTACCTTGGGTTAAGAACTTTGCTTCAGGATGAGAACAGAAATCGTGCTCCGGCGGCGCAGCAGCAGTGGGAAGCCCCATTAGCTAAAGTGGTGCTTCAGGTTAAGAACAGCTTCAGGTTAAGAACAGGCCTCCAGAACGAATTACGTACGTAACCAGAGATACCACAGTACAGGGAGATCACGTCATTGCTGCTAGCACAGCTGTTGGACTTCACCCCAGGAGGTGTGTGCCACTGTCTCTCGAGACTCACAGATGCCAATAGGACGTAACGCGTATATACATGCAGGTCCCTTGCCTGAAACCCTGGAGTCGCATCCCGTCAGTACAGATGCTTCTGAGCTGGATGTGCCATGAGTTTAAGAGCATGAGACTCAATCTCAGGGCCCTGGGTTCGAGCTCTGTGTTGAGCAAAATGATAATAATAATAATAAACCTTTATTGTCACTACACCACCTGTGTGCAGTGAAATTAAACAAGCCCCCCCTCTCCCCCCCACATACACTCAGTCTTGTTCACGCTCTGTGTGCTTGTCAGAAGTCAATTGCACCACTATTTTTTTCTATTCAACAGCCCAACAGCCCACGGATTAAAACTGTTCTTTAACCTGTTGGTGCGGCTGACTATACTCCCGAAGGTAGGAGATTAAAGAAGTGCTGGCCAGGGTGTGAGTCGTCCCTAAGAATTTGCCTCGCTCTCCTGAGGCAGCGGTCTCCCACGATGTCATCTAGCAAACTCCGGGGACAGCCCATGACGTCATGTGCTGTATTCGCCACCCTCTGTAGGGACTTCCTGTCCGTGGCTGTCAAACCAGCGTACCACACTGTAACACAGTACGAAAAGACACTTTCTGTTGTGGCCCGGTAGAAGGAGATGATCAATTTTTGTTTGACATTGTCCTTTCGCAAGACCCTGAGGAAATGGGAGCCTTCCTAATCACCTGGGTTGTATTGAATTTCCAAGTGAGGTCTTCACTAAGGTAAACTCCCTGGAATTTAAAGGAACTCTCTCCACACAACCCCCCGCATACAACGGGGCTAGTTCCCCTCTCTTCCTCCGAAAGTCCAACACCATCTCCTCCTATTTAGGTGCAAGTTGTTCTCTAGGCACCATTTGGAGACTTTTTGAACCTCCTCCCTATACGCTGATTCATCTCCACCTGTAATTAGACCCATTGTGGTGGTATCATCTGCAAACTTAATAATTGCAGTGGATGGATCAGATGAAATAAAGTCATAGGTATACAATAAGTACAGGTAGGGACTCAGATTCCTGCATTTCAGGGGGTTGGACTGGGTGAGCCTTGGGTTCCCTTCCAACGCTACAATTCTATGATTCTCCTTTGGGGGATAGGATAATAATAAGAATAATTTATTATTTATACCCCACCCATATGGCTGAGTTTCCCCAGCCACTCTGGGCGGCTCCCAATTTAGTGTTAAAAACAATGCAGCAGGACAGTCTCTTATATTCCTATTTATTTCGTTCAAAGCCACAAGGACTGGAGTCTGGCTCCGTTCTACAGCTCCGTGGCAGGCCACCTGCTTTGAATGCAGACGGTCCCGGGTTCAATTTCCCGGGAGGGCTGGGGAAAGAACCTGCTGCATGAAGTCCTGGCGAGCCGCTGCCAGTCAGGGCAGACAATACTGAATCAAATGGACCCAACGGCTCTGGCTCAACAGCAAGCGACATCCTATGTCCCCATCGGAAAAAGCTCCCAGGTGCCTGGATTTTAAAGCTGGCAACGAACCCCCAGAACCCGCCACCGAGGAGTCCTAACCCCCGCCAAGACCTGAAAGAAAGCTGCATACCGTCTGTTTCCTCGGTTGCCCCGGCTGTTTCACGAAAGCCGCGCCGAGCCCAAACATCCCCGCAGCCGCCGAGATCCGCGAGCCCCGACGGCGCAAGGGACCCCTCCCCGCTCCTCCTGGAACCTGCTTTTCTGTTGGGGCAGGCAGCTCAGAGCTTCTCCCGAGCGTATCGGGGCCTCCTTGCCAAAGTCAACATTCAACACACCTGACTCGCCTTCAAAGGAGTCCCCCTCCGCACACCTCCCGAGCCCCAATTATTCTTTTGCAACGAAACCTTCCAGGGGAGTTGTCAGCAGCTAAGGCGCTCGGCTCCCTGTGCCGTGAAGAGAAGAAACCTCGGGTAAACTCAGTTCCCGGTGTCGTGCAGAGAAGGCCTCCCTCCGGCAAGAGAAAAGAGGCATGCCTATAGTTTGCTGAAAAATCCAGGGTTTCTCCGTGCCCTGCCCTAGGGCAGAACAGAGCCAGATTTGCTGGTTTTGCTGACAGCAGCGTCAAACCCTCGCAGGGAGAAGAGTCAGATAAGAGGTGATGACTTGATTTTCTAAAGAAGACGCACGATGGGTTCAAGCCTGACGAGAAGCCACAGGGACCCCAGTGCCTAATCCTGGCTACGTGGAGGAGGCTGGCTGCAAGTTCCTTCGTGTCGAAGCAAGGGCGCAGGCTCAGAAACACCCGTCAGCGTTTATGATATCCCAGAGGTCCCGAGTTCCGATCCCACTCTGCTCACTGGGCAATCCTTGGTCAGCTTCCTATGCTCGGCCTAACCTACCTCGCAGGGTTGTTTGGAGGATATTATTAAGATTTATTTACTGCCCTTCATCACAAGAGCTCTGGGTGGTTCAAAACACAAGTGAACGGTCAAAATGAAAACAACAGCAAACCCCATCCCACAAACGCATTTGAAAGGATGTAGTATATGTAGTAGTAGGACGTAGTAGTATAGCCTTAGAGAACCAAAAAAAATGCAAAATACAGTTGTACCTCAGAAGTCAAACGGAACCCGTTCCAGAGGTCCGTTCGACTTCCAAAACGTTCAGAAACCAAAGCACAGCTTCTGATTGGCTTCAGGAAGCTCTTGCAGCCAATCGGAAGCCCCGCTAGACGTTCAGGTTCCAAAGAATGTTCACAAACCGGAACACTCACTTCCGGGAGGTTTGCATCATTCAGGAGCCAAAACCTTTGAGAACTACCACAAGTTGTTCAAAAACCAAGGTATGACTGTACTCACCCTTAAGAACAATTTAAAACAGCCCCACCCCAAATAAACAATACCCTCCCCCCAGTTATAACACCATCCCCATTAAGACGATAATGTCAGCAAAAGTGGGCTGGCAGACGCCCTCATTCCTCCTCCAAAGAGAGGGCCCCCTTTGGTATCTCCCCCGTGCATGGATTGTACAGGGAGAACCATGCATATCGCCCTGACCTCACAGAATAATAGAACTGCAGGGCTAGAAAGGGGTATCAAGAGTCATCTAGTCCAACCCCCTAAAATATAGGAAGAGCAAGCTATACAAGGAAACTCAGAAGGAAAGAAAACGTTCCAGGAAGGAAGCTCAGTAAACCATAAGAAAGAGGCAAAAGTACATCTTCAGACTAAACTTTATTAGCTTAAGGGACTCACTGCCACAAGAGGCAGCCACACGTCACTTAGGCAGCTTTCTATATTCCTACATACTTTTCAGATTTACGCATTTGACTGATTTTACAATCATTTCGACATTTCAAAACTTCAATACCTTCTGCATATCCAAATTAACTTAGTTTGTTCGTTTATTCATCTTCTTTAAATATATGCTCTTGTGAAACTGCAGGTTATTACAATAATCCTGCCGAGGTTTCAATCTGTATTCCTGTGCCTCCTAATGCTGTCTGCACGGCTTGGCTATAACGGAGCCTAGCAAGCTTAAGCCTTCCAGGCTGCAAGGCAAAACTGAGGCAGCGTCCCAGAATCATAGCATTGGAAGGGATCCCACGGGTCATCTAGCCCAACCCCCTGCAACGCAGGAACGTCAGCGGGCCCCGTTTCAAAATCTGGGCCACGCAGATGCCAAAGCATGTCGCAACAGCCCAGGAAGAGGTCAGGAGTTTGCGGCACGCCTGGTGTCCCCGCACACGGCAAATCAGCTTTCGAAAGAGCTGGTCTGCCACACCCCAGAGCCAGCTGCCTTCAGGGCATCAGGGCTGCTCGCAGGGCTTGGCCACACCCTTGGCCAGAGGGGGTGTTGTGGGCTCCTTTTAAGGAAGGCGCTCCAGGAAATGAATCAGAACAGCTGTGCTTACTACAGGGGCGCTAACTCATTGGAGATTTCCAACCAATTAATCACCGCACCTTTCAAAAAAGGGGGAAGAAAGGAAAAAGGACCTCAAAGGAGGAGCCATGGGGCAGGGGAGAAACGACAGGAAAGTATGTACTGTACAGCGGGGAGCAAACCCTCCTGGCAAATCTAACTCTTATCGAGGTGGAGGCAAGGGGTGCAGTTGAGTGGGAGAGCGTGAGCTTTGCTTGAAGGTGGTCCCAGGTTTGAATCCCCAGCATCGCCACAGCTGATCAGTGCAAAGAACACTACGTCAGCTTCAAGCAGCCCTGTCTTCTACAGGCAGTACAGGTGTTCTGCCGCAGAACTACAGCCTTCTCTTGGAGGAGGAAGTAGACGAGGGGAAGGAACAGCCGCAAGAAAGAAGAGTCTAGTGTTTCTTTAAGGAAGAAGAAGTGGTATCTTCGCTATTCTGACAGGCGGAAGGGGGACACCTCGGAGGCAGCAAGCCAGCACAAGTCTTTGAGGGCAACGCAAACTCCTTCCCCTGTCCAGCCGGCTTCCAGAAACTCGGGGCCAGGCCAAGTACAGTGGTACCTCAGGTTACATACGCTTCAGGTTACAGACTCCACTAACCCAGAAATAGTACCTCAGGTTAAGAACTTTGCTTCAGGATGATAACAGAAATCGTGCAGCAGCGGCACGGCAGCAGCGGGAGGCCCCATTAGCTAAAGCGGTGCTTCAGGTTAAGAACAGTTTCAGGTCAAGAACAGACCTCCAGAAAAAATTAAGTTCTTAACCTGAGGTACCACTGTACGGGCAAACAGGGGGACCCATTGAGAGCGTGCTCACTTATGGCTTATGTGTGTGGTACGGAAGCTGTACTACCCAGGACAGGATGGGGTTGTGCAGGGTTGTTAAGGCAGCAGAGAGCATTGTTGGCTGCCCACTCTCCACCTTAGAGCAGATTTATGCCACAAGGTGCCATAGGAAGGCACTGGACATAGTAAAAGATCCATCGCATCCTGGTCACTGTCTCTTCGAGCTCTTGCCGTCGGGACGGAGATACAGGACGATGAAGACAAGAACGAGCCGTCTTAAGAACAGCTTCTTCTCCAGAGCGATCTCGGCCCTGAATGGGAAGCCCGGACTTTGAAAGTCATCTAATCTCCCTTGCTGTATTATACTGTATTGATTAATTAGTGTTTTTATGGAGCAGTCAAGTAATTTCGTTGTCCCCGAAGGGGGCAATGACAATAAAGATATTATTATTATTATTATTATTATTATTATTATTATTTCCGTGGGACCAAGGAAGCTGGCCGTCATTAAGGAGAACCTGCCCCAGTGAGAACTCTGATCAGCAGAGGAGGGAGAGGGACTTGTTCAGATCGCTAACCAGTCCATGCCTCAAGACCCGAGGGGCAAAAGTGCTGACCCCTCCGACCCTTTGGCCTGTGGATTGGAAGCTTAATAAGGATTTTTTTAATAAGGCTTGTATTTTGAGAGGTCTCTGTCCCAGCGTGCGGAAAAGGGACATTTGGGCAATTGGTCCGCCCTCATAAAGAACACACCCCTGCTGAGAAACCACTCAACCGGCGGGAGGAACTGCGCTTCCTTCAGGACAGTGATAACCAGGACAGGGTCAGAGGTCTGCTTCCAGGAACACTATAAGTAAGAGGATGAATCACAGAAGAGAGAGAGAGGAGAAAAGTCCATCTTCTCCTGTACATCTTCTTGTGATCTGGAAACAAGAGGAAGCGATACTTCTCCGGGAAGCCAAGGGAATCTGCCCCCTCCTCGTTCACAGCATGGACGAGGGAGGCCAGGATGCAGAGGGGGACAGAACCATTAGAGAAGAGGGTCGCCGTCCTTCTTCAGGAGACCCCCCCTATACAGGAGTCTGGAGAGGGGAGAAAAACGAAGCGCAGGCCGGAAGGGCTCAGAGATAAGATGTGCAGAAGGTCTCTTTGTCTGGCCGACAACCAATAAGTCAAAGAGGGGTTGGAGGATGAGTAGGGAGAAAGAAATGGAGGGGAGGAAGTAAGTTCACATTCCTGTATTGCCGGGGGGTTGAATTAGATGACCCTTCCAACTCAACAATTCTAGAATTCTATGAAGGAAGCCTGTTGCCCCCTCCCATTCCAATTACAGTGGTACCTCGGGTTACATACGCTTCAGGTTACAGACTCCACTAACCCAGAAATATTGCCTCAGGTTAAGAACTTTGCTTCAGGGTGAGAACAGAAATTGTGCTCCGGCAGCAAGGCGGCAGCAGGAGGCCCCGTTAGCTAAAGTGGTGCTTCAGGTTAAGAACAGTTTCAGGTTAAGTACGGACCTCCGGAACGAATTAAGTACTTAACCTGAGGTACCACTGTACTGGAGGGATTGTTGAACTAGTTAAGACCCTGCTTTTGCTTCCCAACCCCTCTGTCGAAGCAGAGTTCTTTGCTTTTAAAAAACACATATATATGATGTAACAACGCACACCGACAGGTGTGTATTCGATTTCCGAAGAAGCAGCTTTATCCCCCAAGTCCTCCACGGAGGTCCCTCGACCACCAGTCACCCCCAATTTGGGGAGAAGCAAGAGGAAACAGAGAACCAGAAGGGGAAGCAGGAAGTAACACACACACAAATGAAACACAGTGCTGGATTAGTGAACAGAAACCAGTGAAAATTTGTGGAGAGGTGGAATAAAACTTCTCCGGCTCGACCCTCCTGCCACCACAACACCATCTACTGGCCGGAACAACCATGGAAGCGGTATCATCCCGCTGTAAACTGTCCCAGCTTCCTCCACAGGGAGCTCCTTGAAGCTGTAGTTCAGGACGGGCGACCCCCCAACAAAACTACAAAGGTTTAACAATACACTTCTCAGGGAGTTTTGGGAACCATAGCATCACATGGGAAGAGACCGGGTCCGCTAGCAACTCTCAGCACCCTTAGTGAAGTACAGCTCCTGACTCTTTTTTTTGGGGGGGGGAGCAGGGAAGTAGCGGCTGTTTAAAGTGGGACGGATTGCTTTAGAGTCAGGTAAAAGGTAAAGGACCCCCCGGACGGTTAAAGTTACGGTGCAAATGGGGGGGTGTCTCTCTCACACACCTTCCCATTGAACTCATCCCACCCTTCCCATTGGGAAAGCAGAAAGCCTTAGGAGGCAGGCCCCTACCAACTCAAAACGAATCCACCTTTCAGAGTGGGAGGAGAGGGACTCTCCTTGGGCTCCCCTATACCTCCCCAAAAAATACAACCCCCAAATTGCTCCCTCCTTGAAATAACCCCCCCCCAAAAAAGAGGAGTTGTGGGGGGGAGAAGGGGAAACGAGGGGGGGCTGCCTTCCAGCTGCCAATCCATCCCCTCCCCATGGGACCCGAGAGAGGACTAGGATTTGGGGAAAGGGGGGCAAGCAGGGGAGGACAGACACCCCCTCCCCAATACAAGTTGGGGGTTGAGGGGCTGAGCTGGGGGGGTGTAGTGACGTCAGTGAAGGGGAGGGGCTTGGGGAGGGAGGGAAAGGGGAGCAGCTCAGCTGCAAGGGGCGCAGGGAGCGGGCAGGTGGGGGGGCTGGCTTGAGGGGGCGTTGCTGACGTCACTGGAGTGGGAGGGGTCATGGGGGAGGGGAGGGGGTCGCTCTCACCTTGACTTCGCCCTCCTCCTCCTCCCGACTAACGCGCGCGAAGGCCGGCGGGCGGGGAGGGAGGGACGGAGGCGAGGAGCGAGGCCGGGCGGCCGCTGCCGCCGCTTCAGCCCGAGCTCAGGGCTCCCGGCTCCCCTCGGCTGGCTGGCTCGGGCTCTCGCCGACTTCCGGGTTCGCCATCTTGGAGGAGGCGGGCGCGGACTTCCGGTCCGGAAAAAGGGAGCGGGAGGGGCCGTCGAGCTGTGACGACACTTCCGGGTTCCCTCCCTCTCTTCTCGGGACATTCTGTGGCTTCTCCTGTTTAGGAGGAAGCTGGGGGAGGCGGGAGGGGCTTGGTTTTTTAAAATAAATAAATATGGAATGTGAAAGTCGCGCAGGGCTATTTTTACAATACATACAATATATATTGTATTTTTTTATTTATGTACGTTATTGTGACTTTAATACTTTTTATAATATATTCAAAATTTCTCTACATTTGTATGTTATGTATCTATTGTAGTTTTGTGAATATAATAATACGCAATGATAGTAATAATAATAATATTTTATTTATACCCCGCCCATCTGGCTGCCTTTCCGCAGTCACTCTGGGCAGCTTCCAGCAAAATATTTAAAAAGGTAAAGGGACCCCTGACCATTAGGTCCAGTCGTGGCCGACTCTGGGGTTGCGGCGCTCATCTCGCTTTACTGGCCGAGGGAGCCGGCGTACAGCTTCCGGGTCATGTGGCCCGCAGGACTAAGCCGCTTCTGGCGAACCAGAGCAGCGCATGGAAACGCCATTTCCCTTCCCGCCGGAGTGGTACCTATTTATCTACTTGCGCTGGTGTGCTTTCGAACTGCTATGTTGGCAGGAGCTGGGACCGAGCAATGGGAGCTCACCCCGTCATTGCGGGGATTCGAACCGCCGACCTTCTGATTGGCAAGTCCTAGGCTCTGTGGTTTAACCCACAGCGCCACCCGCGTCCCTTAATACCTTTTATAATATATACAAAATTACTCTACGATATACAATATCTTTATTGTCATTGTCCCATGCAGAACAATGAAATTGAAAAACTACATAAAACATTCAAAAACCCCTCAAAACTCTGAAACCCCATTTTAAAATACACTATACTACAGAGACCCCTTATGCTGTGTTTAGAACCAGAATTGCATTTGTGTAGAAACTCTTTTTCAGGTGGCTAGTCCTAGTCTTTATAACCCTGTACCTTCTTCCAGAAGGCAGAAGCTGGAAGAGATCATTTCCGGGGTGTGTACTATCCTGCGATATCTCTGCCGCTTTCTTATGGCACCTGACATTATTATATTATTTATCTACATTATTGTGACGTTAATACCTTTTATAATATATACAAAATTCCTCTACATTTGCACGTTATGTATATCTCTGTGTTATATCTTTTGTAGATTTGTGTGCTATAATAATAATAATAATAGTAGATGTCTTCTAAAAGTCAGGTAGTTGCTTATTTCTTTGACATCTGGTGACATATCTATAATACGTTATAGCGTGATAATCTACATTATTATTATTATACACAGGCTTTCTCAAACTCTGCCCTCCAGAAGTTTTGAGACTACAATTCCCATCATCCCTGACCAATGGTCCTGCTAGCTAGGGATCGTGGGAGTTGTAGGCCAAAAAAACATCTGGAGGGCTAAATTTGAGGAAGCCTGATTATATATGATAAAACCCAAGTATACATGGAATAGCCCAAAGGCTGAACTCCAACTCCCATCAGCCCTGGCCAGAAGACCCGCTTGCGAGGCATTATGGGAACTGAAGTTCAGGATGACCATTTCCCCCGCCCCTGTGGACTACAAGCAACTTCCGGCGGGGGGGGGGGCGATCTCTCCACCACATACCATCTCTATAGTTGGAGAAGCCCCTTTGGCAATAGACTGGGGGTGGGGCTTCAGATGGGAGGCGCTTAGGTGGTCTCACAGAATTGCAGAAGTGATCCCAAAGATCATCTAATGACAGGAATCTAATACAGTAATCCAATAGCAGGAATCTTTTTTTTAATCCAACATGGGGCTCAAACCCACGACCCTGAGATTCAGAGTCTCACGCTGTTACCGGCTGAGCTATCCCAGCCGTCGAATAACCAAGGTTGTGAGGAGTGACATAGAGAACAGGGAGCTCCCGGGATGTGGCGGCTGTCGAATGGAATCCGGACGTGTTTCATCACTCTTTACCCTTATCTATCTATTGGGAGCCACCCAGAGTGGCTGGGGAAACTCAGTCAGATGTGCGGGGTATAAATAATAAATTATTATTATTATTACTATCTAGCTATCTTTATAGAAGTGGGTGGCTAAGCTGAATGGGGAGGAGTCGAGGGGAGTGGGCAGAATGAAGCTTAGGGAACGCGCGCAGAGAATTTTTCTTAATTGTTTGGATCTAGGCAGCAACAGTAGTCAGTAATAATAATACATTTTGCAATTTTAAATGGCCTTAACCTGTTTCTAATTTAATTGTGTTTTCATATTAAAGTTGTGTTTTGGTTTTCGTAGCTTGCCCGTTCTTTAAAATGTATAGAAAGCAGGAACAACAACATCCAATAACAACAACAACATACAAAAACAACAACATCCAATTTTTCCCAGGCTTGCCACATAGTTAAACAAACCTTAGTTCATTAATCATTTCATTCTGATTAATTCATTCCAACTGATTGACATTATTATTATTATTATTATTATGCATATAGCAACAGCAGTAGGCATGTTGTTGCCATAAATTAAAAACTGAATTGCTACGATTGGCTGTTTAATCATTTTGAATTGTTTTTACTACTAAATTTATTACAATGTCTTGTGTTTGTCTTTAACCCGGGTTAAATTGGACATGTAAATTTTTATCCTTGCAGTTTTCCTTAGGACAGAATTGTTAATTTGTCGTTTAATGGGCCCGTCTGTGAGGTTTTGTGAAGTTTTGTAACTATTGTTTTTCTCTATCTATTTTTATTACTTCCCCTGCCGGGGATTGAAAACATCCGCTGAAGCGTGGGCCATAAATACTGTACACAAATGAATAGAAATAAATAAAGTTAACCTGTTGGTGGATTATTTATTTGCTATTTTATTATTATTTATAGTTTGCTATTTATCTATTTCATTATACAATGGGTCGTTAAAGTGTTGTGCATACTGACAGAGAGGTTAAAAAACAATAACAGTGAGTCCGCGTAAATTAAGCATGGCTGGGTCCTTCTGCCTGAATCCTTCTGCATTCCTGGCTGGTGTCCTCCCACTGAACTATCATCCTCCAGAGACCTCTCAGTAGATCCCGTCCTACTTCCCATTACTAGGGGGTCTTAAACCATCCCCGATCTGATCTCTGCCCTTACCTGGGAAGTCTGGCTTCTCTGACTTGCTCCTTCCGAGGTGAGGATCCAGAAGTAGCCTGTCGTTTACTCTCCACAAGAAGTCAGAATTATTCACGGAATATCTAGTTTCACTTTCTCCTTTGTCAGCCCTGAAGCTGCAGTAGGAAGTGGCAGAAGCTACAAAAGGAGACAGTTGTCTTTTATTATTGTTGACATTATTTTATTTTGTTTATTTTGAATATTTAGAATCCCCTCTTTTGTAAACGTTGGGCAAAAGATTCCTGCATTGCAGGGGGCTGGACGAGATACTCCTCGTGGTCCCTTCCAACTCTCCAATTCGGTGATTCTGTAATGGCATGTGGTTCTCTGAGGCTGTTGCCCGCATTTGAGAGTTGGGGGCCAAGCAGAGTGTGGGCCAGGATCCTACCGGCACGCTTCTCCTTACATATGCTCCAACATTTTTCCAATGAAAATAGGGACGCCCTATTCCATAATAGGGTGGCGATGGTCTAAACCACAGAGCCTAGGGCTTGCTGATCAGAAGGTTGGCAGTTAGAATCCCTGCAATGGGGTGAGCTCCCGTTGCTCGGTCCCTGCTCCTGCCAACCTAGCAGTTCGAAAGCACAAATTGCAACTAGATAAATAGGTACCGCTCCAGCGGGAAGGTAAACAGCGTTTCCATGCGCTGCTCTGGTTCGCCAGAAGCGGCTTAGTCCTGCTGGCCACATGACCCGGAAGCTGTACGCCGGCTCCCTCGGCCAGTAAAGCGAGATGAGCGCCGCAACCCCAGAGTCGTCCGCGACTGGACCTAACGGTCAGGGGTCCCTTTACCTTTTATTCCATAATAATTATTATTATTCCAACATAATAAATCATTAAACTTTTTTTTTTTTAAACTTCCCTATACTGGGCTGCCTTCAGATGTCTTCTAAAGGTTGCATAGTTACTTATCTCCTTGGCTCCTTGGGGGGAGCAGGGTCACATAACTCCAGCGCCTCCAACATTTCTCTGATGAAAAGAGGGATGTCCTAAGGAAAAGCGGGACATTCCAGCATCAAATCAGAAACCGGGATGGCTTCTGTAAATCCGTAATTTGTCCCTGGAAAAGAGGGACACTTGGAGGGTCTGTCCTTACATCTCCAGAAGTAAAGGGCACTAGAAACTTTCTCGTTCCAGTTTGTCAGTGTCCTTCTTGAACTGTGGGGTCCAGTTCTGGGCACCACAGTTCAAGAAGGACACTGACAAACTGGAACGAGTCCAGAGGAGGGCAACCAAAATGGTCAAAGGCCTGGAAACGATGCCTTATGAGGAACGGCTAAGGGAGCTGGGCATGTTTAGTCTGGAGAAGAGGAGGTTAAGGGGTGATATGATAGCCATGTTCAAATATATAAAAGGATGTCACATAGAGGAGGGAGAAAGGTTGTTTTCTGCTGCTCCAGAGAAGCGGACACGGAGCAATGGATCCAAACTACAAGAAAGAAGATTCCACCTAAACATTAGGAAGAACTTCCTGACAGTAAGAGCTGTTCGACAGTGGAATTTGCTGCCAAGGAGTGTGGTGGAGTCTCCTTCTTTGGAGGTCTTTAAGCAGAGGCTTGACAACCATATGTCAGGAGTGCTCTGATGGTGTTTCCTGCTTGGCAGGGGGTTGGACTCGATGGCCCTTGTGGTCTCTTCCAACTCTATGATTCTATGATTCTATGATTCTAATGGGAGCTGAACGTTTAAGGGCAAGGGGTCTGGAATATTCATAAGCAAGGGAGGGGAATACTCTGGAAGACTCATAAGCAATGTACAAGTCAGTCTGTTTCACAGCTCACTGTTTGGCTAGACTGGACCTAAGGTCGTGGAAATGAAGGCTTGGCATACGAGAAGCCACTTCCCTGATTTTTTTTGTTCTGTTTCCCTTCTCCCTACGCCTTTGGAAATTCCCCGCATTATCTGAACCAGCAGGTTGCTGCCCTTCCTTCTCCCTCCATAAACAGCAGAAACTGCAAGCTGGATTTCAGAGGACAGAGATCAATTCGGAATCTGAGAGGGCTTCTCTAAGTCAGGGACATCCCTGGAAAATAGGGGCACTTGGAGGGTCCGCAACTCCCTGGGGCCTGGGCACCCACAAATTTCAGTGCCAGGGCCATGCATGCTGTGCGATAGGAATTTTATGGTCTTAGATATATGGTAATGTTCATAAGTGTACCAACCAAGCACATACATAGATCAGCACAGGAAGACCGACCCGGAACCATTTTGATTCCTAAACTGAGCAAATGTTTTCTCTGCAATGTCAAAGTGGGAAACTTCCCCATTGTCTCTTTCCTCGCAAATCCTGTCTTAAGGGCACATTTAAGATATGAATAGGGTGTGAGCCTGTGACCTGGCCCAGGAACTAAGTATTTATCATTACAAAAGACTGGCCAGGATCCCCAGGCAATCCAATCAAGTAACCTGCCAGACAGGAGAAAAACATTTAAATTTCTGTTTTAGACTGCCTTTTCTGTGATGTAGGTATGATGTATCTGAGGGGTGGTCTTAGGTTACACCCCTTCTGTGATGTAGGTATGATGTTTCTGGGGGTGGTCTTGATCTACAGGGTGGCAATTTCAGAGGTCTATATAAGGCCTTGCCCGTCATTGTTCTGGGTTCCTTCTCCTTTCATGTGTGTGAGGGGAGCACCCTGTTGCAACAGATCAATAAAGATCAAGCTTACTAGCAGCTTTGCTTCTAAATATTCTCTGGTAGGCCTCTGTTATTTTCTCCTACCAATAGGGAACCTATGTAAGGACTCTATATGGGCTCTTGGGTACCCCATAAGGAAAAAGGGCATTTTTTGTTTACAACAGCTGCATTGCACCCACAGCCCCGGGTACCCAGGGCCGCAGGGCCAAGCTGGCACTCCTGGTGATAAGAACGTCACTGCTTCTCTCAAAGTGTTCTCCAAAATCTATCTGGGGAAGCCACTTCAGAGCTTGCCGGCCTTCAGTTCTGCCAGGGCAGCTGTCTGTCAAGGGTTTTCTGCGGGACACGGCGTCCTCTTGTGAGAGACAGACAGACTGGCTCTTGGGAGGAGGAAGGGGGGATTTGGCTGGTTGCAGCAGATGCAAATCAACCCAGGAGCAGCCTCAGCAGAGGCTCTCGCCACTGGCACCGACTCGCTTGAGCGCTCAGGTTTCCCTCAGGCCCAGCTCAATCGATCCAGCCTCCCCCACCCACCCCCTTCTGGGAACCGGCTTCCCCTGCAAGGAAGAACTTCCCAGTAGCTGCGTGGGCCCTTTCCAGGATTCTCAAACTGGAGGCCAACATTCGCTGCAAAAAAATAAATAAAATGGGTTGTTGCACCACTCGCAAGCAGCGATCTTAAAGGGAGAGTTAGTGGTGCTGTGCATATAGTGGCAAACAGGCGCCGGCTTGGGACAGAGCAGGGTTGGGATCCTCAGCCCCGAGAGAAGCGGAGGGACCAGTCTCCTTCAAGCTGAGCTGCCCTGTTGTGAGGATAGAATAGTCGTAATGGGGAGGTGAGTATCAGTTGCTGGAAACGGCCAGGTCCTGTTGCGTCGGACAGCCACTGTGACAACAGGATCCTGGGCTCGGTGGATCACTGTTGGCCTCATCCGACAGGCTCTTTCTGGGAAACGTTAGCTGCTGAGGAAACGTCAGGGAGATGGGACAAAGGTCTTTCTAAAGGCAGCCACTTTCTCCCTCGCCTTTGCCTCTCCTAAACGCTGAGATGTGTCATTTACATCAGCAGCGCCGGTTCTGCATGCCTCTGCTGCTTCC